GTTCGTTAACGTTAATGCCCGATATATGGAAGGACAAAAGAAACTCATTAAGTTTTTTAGGTTGTTCTGTTGTATTAGTGGATAATAATTTTCAATTTATTACTTTCGATTTATTCTGTAAAGAATTTGAAGAACCTAATCAAAGATTCATGTCTATCATCAATGTAAGTATCACTAATTATTTTCATATGTCTGCTTTCAGCTGTAAGGAACCACTTTTTTTAGGAGATGCAAAATGCATTAAATGAATTCGGTATTAAATTTCATTTGTTTGCCAATGTCGTTTGCGATCGTGGCTCCAATTTCATTAAAGCTCTTCAAACCTTAAATATTGAACCAATTCATTGCCTAGCGCATCGAATGAACAACATTCTTAATCGATGTTTTCTGTCGGATTTCAAATCAACAAAGAACAAACAGGAAAGAAATGCACAATTAATTCATGAGCAAAACATACTATTTTCAAGTGATGATGAAAATTCATGCCATTCGTCCGATGATGAGAATGTACCCATCAACAACTACTCAGTTGTATCAAAAACACAAAAATCAGAAAAGAAACATATTAAAAATCTACCAAACCAGATTGATACTAATAGTATGAACTACAATGAAGTTAAAAGTTTGAATGATTTACCTGCAGATGCATTATCATTTATTCAAACTATAAAATATATCAAGTCAGTTGTAAAATACGTTAAAAAAGTAAGCAATTCGATATCATAATCATATATGTAAACATGTTTTTCCTGTTTTTAGGCACACATTAATTCTGACATCAAAAAAATTTCAAATACAACACTTAAACAATGTACGAAGGTTCGATGGCTCAGCTTATATTCAACTATCGATAGTTTCAACAAATGTTATGATGCTGTCAAGATTGTATTGAAAACAAGACCACATGCTGCTGTGGTAAATAATTTGTTTAACAAAATATCAAGAGATGTTATTTATGATTTATTGAAACTATTGGTACCCTTCAAAGTTATAACAGAGCTTGTATATTCATCGTATAATTCTTCTATTGCAATGACAACATTTGTTTTGCTTTTAGATTCAAATCAATCGAAAACCATCATTACATCTTGGAGTTTTATCTTTGTTAAAATTGAAACAAGTGTATTCATCTGCTAAAAAACTGGACAGTTTTTATCGAAATCAGGTTGAAAAAAAAGAATAAAAAAGAAGCAAACGTACAACATCAACAAGTCGTAGTCAATATTGATGGCGATGATGAAGAAAATGAATTAAATGATGAATCAAGTGATAATGCAGATGATGATGAATATGCATTTGAAAGTCCAGGTATTTTAGGAGTATTGATAGATAATGCGCATTTTGTCATTTAGATTACTTATATTCTTGTTGGTTTCATGTACTATTTTAGGATTAAGTTACTTTCGTCAACGTTTATTGTATTTGTTGGAAAACATGTTCGATCTGGATGACCGGCATTACGCTGCTATTTTTTTACATCCTCGATATTATAGTGCCATGGGTAAGCGTAGCATTCATATTGCATAATGAACCTTCATGTTTTCATTGTATTTGTTTTTTTTATTTCTTTGTTTAGAATATTGGACAAAAGAAGAAAAAAGTGCTACTAACAAATTCATCAAGAAACAATTACAGATGATCAAAGATGAGACAAAGTCAGCATCGTCGCAAGACAGTGATAATAATTTAGTTATTACAGGTCCAAAGAAAAAATGACAACGTACTGATGATATTTTTAGTGAATATTCGTCAAGTGCAACGGAATCACGTGACAAAAAGCAAAATTATGGTTCAGAAGAAGAAGATAATCAGTATGATGAATTGTTGAATTATCATACATTAATGTTGAAAGAAAAAGGTCCAAAACAAGATGAAAATCCATTGTTATGGTGGAAATCAAATGAAACAATATTTCCAATGTTATCATTGCTAGCTAGTAAGTTGAAACTTTGAATTGAACTTTTATAGATAGTTCGTATTTTATAGGACGAATATTTAGTATATCGGTCACATCGGCTAGTGTCGAAAGACAGTTTTCTCAAGCTGGTCTTGTCTATTGTGATCGAAGATCACGTACAAAACCAAGTTTATTGAATGACATGTTATTAGTTCGTTCAATGTACAAAATGGGAATAAATGATGTGTAATTCAATTATTTACTCAATTTTTTTTGAACACTTATCATTATTATTATCCTAATCAAAGCTGTATCTTTTTTTTACATTGTATATGTGAACATATGCTGTTACTTTCACTTGACTATTTATTTTCTTGAACTTAACTTGAAATTTTGTAATAGTTATGTATGTGCTCAGGAATAAAAGATAATATCCTAATGATAAAAGTTTTAGTTTCAAAACATACTAAAAAGAGAACCAATTAAAAAAAAACTAATGAATTTTTTTGCAAATATTATACTGATTAAAGTTACATTAACCCGCGGGTTAACCCGCGGGCAGCCCGTGACGGGTTGATAATTCTTCAACCCGTAGACTAACCCGCGAGTCAAAAAAAAAAATCGTTCAACCCGTCAAGCGGGTCGGGTTCGACCCTCAACGGGTCGGGTTTGCGGGTTGGGTCAAAAAAAAGTCAGTCACCAACATCTCTGGTCTCTATGTCGTCGATTACGGAAATAATAGAGTACAAAAATTTAATATCGAATAAACCCAATACGATGTTTTTTTTGTTTGCTTCATTCTCTTTTTCTCTTTCAAATAAATCGTAATTGAATGAAAAATGAATTAAAATCTATTCTATTTTCGCACGCGCGGGAAGACTCACATCATCCACATGCACTCATCCGATAACATGCGTCAGTGAGTCTGGAAGCTCGATCGTGTTGCCATTGACACCAAAGCAGTTCCTGGCTGGGCTTTTAGGGACTACCCAGAAGTCATTCATATAAGACGAATGCAATCTCAATGGACAGAACTCATCCCTCTCACTACTATCACTCACATGTCTAAGATTCACCTTATTCTCAACTCAAAAAAAAAGAAATAATTACTCACCTGTTGATATTGAACGATGACGTCTCTAAAAGAGAGACCTGGCCAAGTTCCCAGGAGTCGGGAACTCAATGGGAACTCATTAGGAATTGGGAACTCAAAGGGTATGGGTGAAAGTTACCGTCATGTTCCCAGGTGCCTGGTAACGGTTTGGTAATTGTCTCCCGTCTCCAGCACCAAACTCTAGGGCCCTCAAGTCCTGGTTTTGAAAAAAAAATTGTTTCAAAAAAATTTCAGGAGTTTTCAAAAAAATTTATTTTTTTTCAAAAAGTCTGTTTCTGCATTCAAAAAAATTTTTCGAAAAAGAATTTTTTTCAAAAATAGAGCAGTCATCCTATTCCGCAATGTTGAACATTGTGGAATCAGTTCCATGCAATTTCGGGAACTCGAAAATCATTCAACAAAATGGGACTTATTCGACAAGGATCGCGTTCTCTCAATTTCCGGAATTCCGGGAATTGAGTCCATTCTAAACTAGTCGTGATTTCTAGGAATTCCCAGTAATTCCGTCTGATTCCGTAGTGACCTACGTTCTGCCATTCAGAAATTCCGCGAACTGATTCCGGAATTCCGTCCAATTCCATTTCGACCTACTTCCCGGAATTCCTGACTTATTTCAGCAATTAATCTAGGGTGGGTGTGGGTGGGTGTGGGTGTGGGTGTGGGTGTGGGTGGGTGTGGGGTGTTGATCTGGTTCATCCACACCCCACCCTCACACCCACTCCACCCACACATCCCACACCCACCCACAGCCACAGCCACACCCACCCCCACCCACACCTCACACCTACACCCATCCACATCCACACCCCACACACCCACCCACACCCCACACCTACACCCATCCACATCCACACCCCTCACCCGCACCCACACCCCACACACCCACCCACACCCACACCTTGGTAAAAGAACAGACTGGTTGTATTGAGAGAATGTCAACAACAGGCACAAACTGAATTCGAACGTTGTTCAGTTATTTTTCATGTTCATACAATGGCGTTCTGATCAAGGACAATTCATCTATCAATAGTAGGATTTGGTCAGCACAGTCTCAATGTCACTTTTTTGCACAGAAAAGGCTGCCATTGGATATGGTTATTCACATGACGGGACCGAATTACTCATTCGTCGAACCGTTAAAATCGAAAAAAATTGATCGTCACCTCTCTTGAATTTTGATTTTTTTGGGAGTCGGTAGAGAGCGGAGCCACCTTAAGGGGACCCCCCTCCCCGTTTCCGGGGTTTCTTGAGAACGGCTCATTGAAAAGTTACGAAATTTTGCAGGCCAGATAGATCTCGATGAGTGGAGTAAAAGTTGTCATAGGCTCAAAATTCCTGGATGCTTCCTTCGGGAAGATATGGGGGTCGCATAGGCTAAAAATGACTCGAAGTTTTCTCTCCGCAAATCTCTACACTTCATTTTTTCGAGCTGAAATTTTTTCTGCGACAACTAGGATCAAATTGGGGTGCGTTTTTTTTTTTTCTTTTAAAAATATCGTTCCTAGAGCTCAGGAGAAGCAAAATACTCGAAGCACCCTCAAAAAACATGTTTTTTTTTCAATAGTACTAATTTTTAAAGGGCTGCCAAATTTCGTAGGAACAACATTTTTAAGAAAAAAAAAACACGCACCCCAATTTGATTAAAGTACTCATTAAAAAAATTTGAGCCCGATCGGACATACCGTGTAGGAGAAAAGGGGGGAAAACTTCATTTTTTTGATGAAAAAATTGATTTTGAGAAATATGCAAAGAAATTTATGTTTTTTGGTTTTTTCAGCATGTTTTGCGATTTTTTTCGAGATTTGTCATATGTAAGATGTGGGTTTTCAGTTCTCAAAGTGTGCTCAATGGATAGAGGGCATTTAAATCTATATACTAATCACAAAAAATGAAAAACGAAACGTGTGAAAATTCTGAGTCGGGAAGGGGGGGGGGGTCCCTTTAAGCAAACAAACTCAAAACTTCTCTTCGTCTCTTTTTTTCTTCCGTTTTGGACGCCTTTTTGTTTCTTCTTTTGTATGGTTCCTCGCTTCTCCCTCCCGACTTTATTTCTGTTGCCACTTTTCTTCTTCTTCTTCTTTGTCATTTTGTTCTTTTTCTTCGATAGTATTTCATGTTATTATACTTTTGATTGAAACTACACATCGAAAGGTAAGCTTAATCTATCAATCTATAATCAGAATGACGAGAGAAAGAGTTGATTGTTACTTAGTATACAACAAGAATAGCTATTTTCTGAATAGTCACATGTTATTCTTACGTATTGAATTTACTTTTTATTTCTTAAAATTTCATAGTTCGAACAATGGTTCCACCTGGTTAAACTCGAGAAACACTGACATTTTCTTGAAAAATGAGAAAACAATCAGAGCTCGACTGTGTGAAAAACTGTTTGTAGAAATATTTGCTTTTGTCACCCGGGAAAAGGAAAATCACATGGGGTTCATATTTATAAACAGCTGTATGCAAGAAAGAAAAAATATATTTTATTTATTTAATGTTCTCGACATCATTCGTTTTCTTCATTGTAATTAAGTAAATATGAAATGAATCACATAAAACGCACTCAGTTATGTTTGTTTTTTCCTTCTCGAATAAAATTCTTCTATAAAGCCTCACTTATGTTGAGAATGTCTTTATGTTATTTTCTTTTCTCAATGCGTATAGTTGAATAATGAATAAGCTGAACTCATTCTGAGATATGTGTTTTAGATGAATAGTTTGTTTCAAATGACATGGTTTAAACGAATGTTCGTCAATGAAAATCGACAGAAATCAGACACTCATTTTCCATGGTTTATACTTTGCGTCAGCATCATCGATATAGCATTACTTATATACAGTATTGTTGACAGTAAAGGCATATCTCCAATGTCTGAAAATTGGATGGCTGGACCTTCGCGCGTAACACTCATTAGAAATGGAGCCAAATTTGTTCCGTGTATGAAACCAACGCAAAAGGATGTTCTAAACGATAGATTAAATTGTTCGTCGATTTCATCACTTGGTTATGATATTTGCACTTATGAAATGTTTCTTCAGTATATATGTAATGTGGAAAAGTTAAAAGGTTTTCCTTATCAAGTTTATAGATTTTTGACACCAGTTTTCCTACATGGTGGCATAATTCATCTACTTTTGAATTTGTTCAATCAATTAGCTTTGGGAATAATGTTAGAACGACAGTATGGCCTAATCCGTATTGGTATTATATATATTCTATCGGGTATCGGTAGTATTTTACTCAGTGCAATTGGTTTTTCACAATACGGTAAGTATAATCTCAGAAAATAAAAAAAACAGGGTTGTATCTTGTTATAATGCATACGAAAAGTATTTGATAAGACTTATAGTTGAATAAGGACTTCTTTGAGGCATATTCATATAGAAGAAAGCTGTTAGCGCAATCTCTTGCGGGATTAAAAATGTGAAACATGATGGATCTGTTGTTACTAATTAAATGGAAATCGTTTTGTTCCATTTCTTTGCAATACATTTGTAGCTAACCGTTTATCTGATGCTTTAGAACTACAGTTTCTCTGTCACGGTCTGTAATGGGTACAAAGCTTGTCTGTCACGGTCTGTGATGGGTCCAAGACCTGTCTGTCACGGTCAGTGATGGATCCAAATCCTGTCTATCACGGTCTGTTGGGAGGGGGGAGAGGGTCCAAATTTCTACCCCCTAAACACTTCAACACTCCTTTCAGATCGTGTTTCACAAAAATTTTATAATAAATCTTCTTCATCGAAAATACCCTAATTCAAAATAAACTGTATTGAATAACTTATTAAAAAAATATTATGTTACAATGAACATTTATTTTATTTTTTTAGCTTCCGTAGGAGCATCAGGATCAATCATGGGTATGTGGGCTGTTTGTGTTCTAGACATGATTCGTAATTGGGAGGGTTTAAAACAATCTGGGATACCAATAGCTATTGATACAATCTGCATTATTGTCTTATTTATAGTAGGATTTTTTGTTCCAGTATTTGACTCCATGGGACATTTAGGAGGCCTATTAATCGGAATTCTAAGTGGATTATTGTTCTGTCCAAATTTATATTGGAAGGTTGACACAGATAATGCTGTGAAATCAAGATTGTTTATAATGGGAATATCATCAATCTTTTTATTAGCATTTTTTCTTGGTGGATTCATTGGATTTTTTAAAACAACTGCTTCGCCTATATTTACAGTCAATTGAATGAACAGATTTCTCAAAGAGTAATATTGTATTTGTATCTATTTGTTGCAAATCTCATTTTTATGGGTGTGGGTGTGAGTGTGTGGTGTGGGTGTGGGAGTGTGGTGTGGATGTAGGTGTGGGTTAAGGAAGAACAATACCCACACCCACACCCACACTCATTCTCGCAGAAAAGAGATTCATGGACCTACGAAGCCCTTTCAGTCGACTCTAGAACAACCCAACCAACTCAAACTGTGTATGATACCGTGGTATCTCTTGAGACCTATGCTACTAACATCACACAATACTGTAAACATTCATCTCTAAACCAAAACTCGGTACATACCATGCTATTCGTTCCGCAGCCACCACTACGTGACCTCAAACAAACTTCCATCACCGAGATCTCTGAACTCACATACACCTATTTCCCTCCTCGAAACGTTTTATCATCCGCTTCTTTTTAAAATACTTCATCCAGTCACCAGAGTAACTACAAAATTTCATGCCTACCGTTTTCACACAGCCACACGTTTCTCACTTACCACAGTACACAACACTCGAAAGGGAGAAAAAGCAATAACTGAATAGTTGAAGTAAATTTTCAATAATTGAATTCAATATTCAGGTTTGACATGTATGAAATAATTCGAGGGTAACTAAATATTTCTAAAAACAATCGAATATCTTCAATTACATTAATATTCAGTAAAACATTGTCTAATGAAAATCCTGTTAAAGTTGTTCCTCAATATACCCTACCTCGAGGTAAATGAATATTGATCAGCAATTTTATGACGTGCCATATCAGCTACTTGAAATGTTCTGTCAATAAGGTCTCTGCTATTGTTCTCTTTTCTTCATCTCAAAGTTTCTTGAAATAAAGAAAATTTCTTATTTAGTTCAGGGAAAAATTGCAGTTGAAGCTTCTGAAATGATCAATTATATGAAATTTGACAAAATCAAAAACTTGAATTTTTTTAATTAATGAAATAACCAAAAACTGATAGTGTACCAGAAAAACATTAATGAGACGCATTAGACGATGAAATGACAAAATGCAAGAAGCAACCATTCATTTGGATCTATCCGTTCAAAGAAAAAAACAAACAGGCAAGCCATCCATCAACAGATTATACACGATATGTTCTTCTTTTGAAATGTATTTCAAGAAGGTACTTTTGTTTTGCTTGAATTAATCTGCAAGCCGTCGGCTAAATTCATCAATAGTAAACGAACTTTACGCGATTCGATGACTAATATGTAACTATCAGACTTCGATCTAAGGTATGTGAAAAAAGTTCGCTGCATTTTTCATATCGATATATATCGAAAAACTTCAGAGAACTTTCTTCAACAAATTATACCAGAAGATGCAGTGTGAAAAGCTCTACAAGATCCATAAGACCGCTTATTTTATAGTTGGGGTTTTTATTTTCAAAATAGACAAAATTTTGAGCGACCAAATTTCGACTATATAAAACGATATTTTTTTTGGTATCAGATGAATTCGCTCTTTCTTATTGCACCTTTTTATAATTGTTCTTTATAAATTGTAGAGCTTTTCACGCTGCATCTTGTGGTATGTTTTATTTATCTTTCAACAAAGGATATCAGGTGCTAAACAAGAAAAAAATGCCTTCCTCATATGCCAAACAAAGACTTTTTCGCAGCGTCGAAACTTAGACGCTCAAAATTTTGACTATTTTGAAAACCAAAACCCCAACTATAAAATAAGCGGTCTTATGGATCTTGTAGAGCTTTTCACGCTGCATCTCCTGGTATAATTTGCTGAAAAATGTTCTCGGAAATTTGTCTATTTATATCGATATGAAAATGCAGCGAACTTTCTCCTACCTATTAGTTATTCGGAATTTTGTTGATTTTGACAACAAAAAATACGACTGTGAAGTCAGCTATTCTTTATAAATTGTAGAGCTTTTCACGCTGCATCTTGTGGCATATTTTTTTTAAAAAGATATCAGATGATTAAAAAATCAAATACGGAAAAAGAAATCCATCGTGTACCAAAAAAACTATCATTTTCATATGGTCGAAATTTGGTCCCTCAAAATTTTGACTATTTTGAAAACAAAAACCCCAACTATAAAATAAGCGGTCTTATGGATCTTGTAGAGCTTTTCACGCTGCATCTTCTGGTATAATTTGTTGAAGAAAGTTCTCTGAAATTTTTCGATTTATATCGATATGAAAAATGCAGCGAACTTTTTTCACATACCTTAGTATAGAAATATTGAATAGCAATCTATATTGTCTTTTTAATCAGCTGAAGTGAAGAACGTATCGATTTTGCTAAGTCTTCAAATGTCCAAAATAAACTAAAAAATATTCTTTACAATGAATAAAGTCGTGTTAGTCACTATGTTTGGTCTTTTTTTCACTATCACTAATACGAGAACTAGATATCTATTGAGAAAAAAAATATGCAATGCTTATCTATATAGTATCTACATGCTTAATGATGGAAGCTAGAAGTATTCCTTAGTGTAGACAACCATAAATCATCGTACCAATGACAACTACGCAAAAATACTGTTACTCAGAATTTTCTTGTGCTCATCACAAGTATTCAAATGTTCGACACATTAATTTCGAAGTTCTAGCCTAAGATGATGACATCTACATACACCTCAGAACAATTTGGCTGGAAAAACCCTGACTTGACTACTAGATGTTTCAAGTACAAAATAATTATTTCATTTTCTATTTATACACATTAGCCGTTAATAGAAAATTTTCCAGTCCATACCTACACTTTCACTAATGATTAGAAAAGTATTTTTTTAGCGAGTTTGAAAGCCTTTCTGAATGGTATGAAATGCGTTAAACGAGGCTTGTCACCAGAGTCCTTTTAACGCTGTGATGTGAGAATAGAGAGCTTCAATTACTACAGATTGCTGTTGTTCAAAAGGCGACAGCTTAATTTCATAATCTTTGAAATAGATTATTTTTTTCTGATCATGAATTTTTCTATCACATCTTTCTGCCGTTGAAATCATTGATTACGACTCCAAGTCTGCATTGGAATATCATAGTGTGAGGATGATGGTTTGTCTGCTCAACGCGATAAACTTCGTTTTTTTGTTCTCGAATTCTTGTCTCCATGATAGAAATATCAAATTCGATCTGGTGAAAGAATCTATGATTTTCAGATTGTTGAATGAATACCATTTGTTCTTATCATGTTGATTATTCGCATCCCTTCTGTTTTATGTTTTTACATGCAATTGTTTCTTTTCTTACCTGTATCGACAAGCACACTAATTTTTCACTTACGACTCATTCAGAGTTGTTCTCTTTCTTCCTACCTGTCAGAAAAAAACAACGAGGCTATTTCAAAAGTAAAAACATGTGATGCTGTATAGGTAAATATAAATACATCATTTTCCTATATTAGTTACAATTACTGGATTTTCTCTTATTGCTGTATAGACTGGCTTTCATATTGCATTCGCTGTATGCCTAAAAGACGACTATCGATTACTGGTGTCTCACCACTGGAAATACTACCCATTGAGATTCTCTATCACATTTACGACTACGTCGATGTATATACGCTATTATTCTCTTTACGTAACACTTGTCGCCGCTTGAAAACAATTATTAATAAATATGAACACATCATTATCGATTTTCGATCGATTTCGTATGATCGCTTTCAATGCATTTGTCGCATACTCGATCCTAAAAATGTCGTCTCACTCACACTCTCTAGTAATTATGCTAATTCGCTTACGAAGTGGTTTCCTACGAAAACATTCACTCGAGTTCGTCGTGTGAACTTAGTTGAAATCAAAGAAAATAATTTTAGAAACATCTTAAAACTTTTTCAATTTACTTCACTTGTTTCGTTTTCACTCGAGTTTGAAAAACCTGATAATTATCGCCATAATGTAACGGGAACTCTTCTCACGTCGATGTTTGTAAGATCGAATCTTCGTAAAGTTGAATTGAATCTTCATTTGGGTCGAATAGAAAATATAATCTGGTTTTTGAAATATCCTACAGAATATTTATCAGTTGGTCCATTGGTGAACTTAAATATCATTTGTGTTATTCTTGATTGCTGCCCTAGGTTAAGAACATTGATATGTTCTTTTGCAATCTCAAATGATCCTAATTTTAAGTTACAGAAGTCGTATACGACCCATTGGACACAGTTGACTTCACTAACATTCAACAATTGTGCAGCGCGTATCGAGGATCTTGAACAGTTTCTTTTATTGATACCTTCACTGACCTATTTAAAACTGACTGGTACTGAAAACTACTTGAATGGTCATCGATGGGAACAATTTATTGAAAATCATTTACCTTCATTGACTCGGTTCGAGTTTTTTTTCAGTGAAAAACAACAATTTCAACAAGATTTTCCAGATATTCAGTTGATAATTGCATCATTTTCGACGACGTTTTGGATCGAAACTAAAAAATGGTTTGTCACTTGTGAATACGACATTGAAAAGCCTCAACTAATTTTTCTCTATTCTATACCTATGTGTGCTTCTCTTCCAAGTTACGATCCCACATCGATGAAAATATCGCTTTCAACAACAATTCAGAAATGTGATAAATTTTCATCAGCGTCAGAAAATATGATCGTTTCACAAAATAACACATTTTTTTAGAAAAATTTGAGATATTCGAGACAAGGTTAAAATTTATAAAAAATAAAATAATATTTAATATTATTTCGAAACATCTTATTTTTAAATGAATTGAGAGAGTACTAAAAGTTTATTTTTGCACTCAGACAACATTAAGCAAGACTGAGATTGAGAACAAGAAGACCGATGACTATCTTGCGAATGGGTTGATCTCGGATGCATCTTCTTTTTACGTAACCACGCAGTGATCCATCCGATCCTGCATGCATTCACCCACCGATGTTGTTATGCACAACCCCCTCAATTCCACAGAAAAAATTGATCGTCATGTATTTTCGCACAAATACCTACTGCAGCTCTATAAGGTATCAAAGGAAAGAAAAACAATTTTTTCTTTTTTTCTTTGATGACTTGAAAGTATTCTATTTTCAACGTCGTTCGTGACCATGCAGCACGCACAATTCATTTTATAAAAAAAAAGTATCCATGTGGATGACCCATATATACGACTACTGGCACAACTTCGAATTGAACAACATCAAACCGAACAAAACGAACGAAAGCGATTTTTCTATTTATTAGTTTCAATAATCATAGCTTCTATTATTATTTTATTTTCGTTAGAATGTCACACACAGCTATTAAATGCTTATTTTGGACCATTTCATATTACTTCAAGTCGAACTTGGTCAAGATAGCGTGGAATATAAACCCAAGTATCCACCTCGCATATATGAAAATTCAAAAACTCGAATTGGACTTCGAGCTACTTTTCATCATGTACTTCATGTTAGTGTTACGACAGTCTTGTTTCCTGATCAAGTATTTATCAAAATGCCAACATATCCGATTCAATTACCATTTCGATTTTCAGTCCTATTACAGCAAGAACTTTGAACATTTCAATGACGTTGTTCTCGTACGTTGCGGTATATTCATCGGTTTCTTTGTGCGATCAAAATCTCACATTGAGAAAGCCTATAATTCAACACGATCAACTGCACCATGGTTTGAATTTCGATCGTATGACGTTGCATTCGATGTCACTCGACACTATCGAGCACGTTCTGCTTTTGCAATGGGATTCATAGCATGTATAACTGTTATTATGGCGTTCATAGTTTACGTGCGTCACTTATTTGTACATAGAAAAACTGACTAGATCATTGAATTGTGTGTTCGAGAGCTGCAGTATAGTTATTAGTTAATCTCGTTCACGATGAAAAGATTGATAAATTGAATAAAGTTGTCGTGAAACAATCTGACTATTACTGATAGAAGTAGTATGATCCTCATTAATTGAAAAGAAAATCAAATTGACCTGTTGTTCTCATATGTTCACTGTTCTTGTTTTATATTTTTTACCAACAATATATGAAAGCGTCCTATTGATTCTAGTGTTCAGAATGAATTCTATCTCTCGATTTTTTTATACTGCATCATATAGATTGAAAAACTCTGCTGTTTGCAAGTTAATCAATCCTTGACGACACAAATTAAAATATTTTCTTTGACAAAAAAAAAAAAAAACTAATGTTCACCCAGATCAAGCAAATATCTATTCGATCCTCTCCACATTAACGTTTAGAAATATCCATAGATCTCACTTTATCGCTGCCAATTTCAGATAAATATGATTATTTTATTAAAACTACTTTCCAAACATTTATAAGAGTGAAAATTGGTTTAAATAAATAATATATATACATCATCATGTTTATGAGGAGACAATAATAGAAAGTCATCTCCTCTTCAATGAGAAAAAGCTCATGTAAATACAATAGCAAACGATGGTATACAGTCGTTTGTTCTAATCGTACACAAGTGCCGTAATAAAGCATCTAGATAGCATTTCGTTTAGGTTCAGAGCATATTCTCATCCGATTCACAAAACGAATGCATCAATTTTTCTGATAGCTATGACACTTAAAAACAGAATGTCACTACTAGTTGTTTGCCTCTAAATTATTTTCTCTGATTGCATACATCATGTATGGAATGAGTTGTTCTTAAAGTGTCTATGACGGTCTGTCAATTTTGTCTGAGAAAGAAACAACAGCGACTTCAATATTGAAATTTGCTGTTTTCCCTTCAATCCCATCTATCACTTTTTGTGAGAGACGCAAATTTCTATACTATATACTTCAGCACTCTTATTAGATTAGACAATTGTTTTATTTGCAAATAGTTTTGTATTGATTCAAAAACTGAGCAAATCAATAAAAAAACAATTTTTTGCTGTCTATTGATCAGTTTGTTTTTTGTTTCAAAAACGAATCTTTCATACTATTGAATTAATATCTTTTCTTCTCTTCTAAGAAAAAATGAAAAGAATAAGCATGATTTGTTTTATTATAAACATTATTTAAGCAGAAGAAAAAAGAACAGTACGAGAAAGTAAATTTTCAATATATGTTTGTTGTTCAAGTAATTCATTTTTGTTTCCTGTTTTGGCTAATTCAATTATATCTTCGAATGCTTCTTTAATATGTTGACAATCAATTAATGAATCAAGTTCATCTAATGATATTTGACAATTTTCTAAATATGTATCTTCAGTCTTATCATCAATAGTATTTTGTACGAATAATTTCAAATATTCAACAAAACGATGACATAAGTTTAATATAACTTCATCATCATCAATCCAATGAACTCGTTTACCACTACTACGTGATATTGATGAACCCGTTCGAGTTACTTCACCATTACCAAAATTATACAGATGTATTGCATTAGATGTTGTCGAAGAAACAGCTAAAATTAAATTTTTAATCAAACTAACACCAACAATAAAATAAAACCTGTTTTATGTTCATGGGATTTTGTTCGTTTTAAAAATTTATTTAGTTTTCGTCGCCATGTACTATATATACGTGGTGATGATGATGGTGCATGATGTGATGAGAGAGTAAGATTCTCGTTATTGTCCGTCTTATAATTAAGACTTGATTGTTTTCCAGGTGATGACCAAGTAATAATTCCATTAGTATCATCATCTTCGTTATATTCTGATACTGTTGGAGGCCATATAGGACTATCAGCAAATGGTGTTGGTGGTCGAATAGGAAAACCAAATATTCCAAAATAACCAGGAGATGCTGTTAAATCTATAGAAATTAGGAAAATTTATTTTTTATCTAATTACTTTTCAAATAATAACATATCCTTCTCACTCAAATAAATGATAATCCTTATTTTTTTTTCGATTATTTTACTTTCTTTTTATCGCTTAATCTCATTTCTATGCCACAAATACCAAGTCGAAGGTTTTTATAATTCAGAAAGTTTCAACCTTCTTCACTGAAGATTCTTCCATAATAGTATAAATATATTTTTCCGTGTACTCGTGTTGAAATGAAACCAAAATTGATTGTCTTCTTGCTAAATTGTGAACTTTTTTCCCAACGTTTTTTTTTAAGTATTTATACAAAGAACGTGTAACAGTAAAAAAAAAAGAAATCAAGAAAATTAAAATTACTCATCAAATATTGATACTATCGAAAAGAAAACCCAAAATTCAGCAAGAAAATAACAAAATTTTTCTTTTACTGTTGTTCATGTACATTGAAGTAGTATTCATAGATTTCTTAAATGCATTTGCATTCAATTGGACTCAAATTTTTCGAATAGATCAATAAGTTAAAGATGTATCTAAGCATAAATATAAGATTAAAGGATAGTGGTAGAAAGAAATCATCGAAAGAAAAAAGTTATGCCCTTTATTTGCCCAGCGGTGATATGTATAGATTGCAATTCTTTTTTTATTCCTGTGTGGTTTCTTCTCTATGTCAATATTTGCTTGTTAAGGCTATTCAATACATGCAATCGTAACATTGTATTTTATTGAGATATCTACTATTCGTTAAAATATTAAGTTAAAATTTAATTTTATATCATTTTCAAAAGATATGAAATTCAATAATTGTTCAATTGAAATTATTATGAAACTATTCAAATATCTTTTTTTTTAAATTTTTTATCGAAATAAAATAACATTGTATTATAATCTTAACTCTTTTGCAAAACAAAAAAAAAATTGTTTTTGCTTTTATATCCAAATATACTAATTAGAAAGGAAATTTTATTTAAAATATAATTAAAAAACAAATGTACGCACCAATAACATCCGGTTCATCGTCATTATTTGTTGTCGGTATCATTTCTACTTCATACATTTGAAGAAATGAAAAGAGACTGAATGAATATATGTAAATATATATATACTCATAGATATTCGATCATAGAATAACAAATAGTTACCTGTATGCGTAATATTGATCACGGTTCGATAGAGAACAGGTTATAGCGATAGTATGAATGTGAATGACAAAGATGAATAGATGTCAAGTTTAAAAACGACTTTTTTTTTGTTCTTCGATTATATTAATAAATATAATTGAAATTTAAAAATAAAATAGAAAATAGTCTAATGCATGAAATGAATCAAACAAACTATCTGATGTCATTTAATATGGAATTAGACAGTAACTATCAAACTTATTCAGCTAGTAGATTATTTTAGTTTTTGTATATCTTAAAAATTAGATGAGCTATAATCATTTAGTTTTCGTTAGATTATAGTTCAAAGTTTCTAAGATTTTATTAAATAAATTTATTAATCTGTTTTGTTTCTTTTTTCTAGAAAAAACAATCACAGCATGTCGTTTTTCATCCTTTCAAAATTCTTTAACTAGTTATTTTTGTAAACTATTATGAGCTTTTGTTTGGGCTGCAATTTTCTTTTCATGCTGCTTGATTCAATAGAATATATTGCACTCCATATGAGGAGTATTGTTTGTGGCAACTTTCCTTTGAATAAGGATTAAAAAGCAATGTTTTTTGACTCATACTTCAATTTTTGAACAAACAAAAACGAGAATAGACTTTTTTCATACGATATTTAGCGAATTTTCTTATTTAATAAACGTATTGATCGTCTTTTATATTTACATCAATTACAAAAAAACCTTCGTGTACAGTCTATTACACGTATTCATGGATATCTAAAAAAAATTGTTTTAATAACATAAATATGTAGGGAATCTTTATCCGTGCAAAAACTCTTATATTTGACATCAAAAGCGATTGTATCACTTAAAACTTAAATTGAGAATAATTAATCGAACGGTAATCGAATTTGTAAAAATGTAATGCGGTCAGCGAAGATAGATCACTTTTGTGTAATAGAATTTATTCTCTTTGAATTTTTCTATATTGCAATCAATAATCATCTGTAACCGTGTGTATAAAACAATATTAATTTACACTAATATCAACTCTAGTGTGATGTCGTATTTATTCAAGAAGGAATTTGTAATCTATCATCTACTTTTGATCAAGTTGAACTAGGGCTACTCGGATCGAACCAATGAAAGCCGGTTTGATTCAATTTCTGTTCCAATCACTTCAAAAACTATCCGAACATCTATAAGATTTTTCGTATTTTTTCATTGGTAGAGCAGAAACAAGAGATACTTGGAATCGTGTGCGAGAGCTACCTACTGGTAAAAAAAAAGAAAAAATTCATCTCTTGTTTCTGTTCTACAAATGAGAAACTAAGAAAAAGCTTGTAGATGTTCGGATTAGTGATACGAGAGATCAATCGTTTTTGAGTTTCGTTTTGCAATACATGTACTGGTGAAAAATACGATATCATTTTCTAGCAGCATCAATGCATTCAAGACGTCTTGCATGATCCGCGTGAAGGGTAATGTTTACAAAAAGAAAACTCATTTTAATCGTACCAGTATTTCATCGATCATTCATTGCTATAAAAAAAATACATTAAATTTGTTCCATTCATTTTACAACTGTTCAATATTATAGTATTTCTATCTTTGTACTTTCTCGTTTAATACACTCCATATTTTTTTCAATCCAAACGTCAACTACGTAGTTGTATCGTACAATTCTTTTTTACACAATTCGATTAACAGAGACATATTCGACAGTATAAAAAGTAACGAGTATCCTTTGATAAAAATATTGATCTCCTTGAAAAATAATATCTCTTAAGTTACTTAATTCTTTAGCTTGTTTTCTGTTACTATAGCACGCATAAATTTTGTATATCAAAAAGTTGTTAAAAGCCTACATTAACGCTTGCAGAAACAAATATATATCCGTGAACGAAAGATTTTTGAAGGAATCAGATTTGGCAGAAAATAGTAAATGTTAATTTTAAGTTGAAGTTGAAGTTGAAGTTTTCCTTCCCATCACATTATAATACTGTTGTCTATCGTAATGATACAGTCAAAAATAAGAGTTTGTCAAACATAGACACTGGTATTAGTGACACAATGGTTTTTTTTCTTCTTGTAGTTAGTATTTTACAGCATTTATCTGTGACTGTTGTACTTCATGAGAAATATTAATATAGTCATTATATTATAAAAACAATATTGTTGCTGTTTTGATGAAAACGAAAATAAATTCTTTATTGGTACTAAGACAAATTATCGCACGGGTAGAACATTGTGATACGTTTTAATGTTATATATTGATATGTCAGACAATGATTTTATGAGGATGAAGGTGTAGGTGTTTTCTTCGCTAATACTCATATTCTTATTCAAAGAGTAAATTTTTATTGTTTATTAAATATAGATTTCATCTTAGTTTGATTGTAGGGGAAAGCAAAACAAGGCTACTTCATTCATTAACTGAAATCAATAGAAAATAAAATTTAACAATAGTGATTGTTTTACATCCAACAGAACAATAGGAGAAAAAATTACATAGATATCTAAAGAAAATCTAAAATCTTGTTGTTATTTCAAAAAAAATTAAATCTAAGAACATGAAAGTCACCTATTCAATGTCCATGTTCTTTTTATCTTTCATATAGATGAAAATATATAGTCATATTTCGACTTGACTTGACTTGAATTCTAAAAACCTCTGATTTGCTTATCTTGGCATGAGCACTTGAATAGCTTAGTATAACAATGACAATCAATTTAACTCTATGATTTTCTTCAATAATAACTAAATCATTAAAACCTCAATTAACTTCCATCTAACGTAACAAAAGAAGTAAAAGAATCGAAATGCTCCTTTGTTTCACGTAACGTTAAATATCTTATATATGGCAAGAAAATAATATTTAAACTGTTATATTCGATTATAAATAAAAGATAGTTTGTTCTTTTGTTAAATAGATGTCTTGTTGATGTGTGACAGTGAATAAACGCCATCATTCGTTCGCTATTCTTAACATTTGGGTAACACTGTTATAGAGTACATGGTCAGATCATTATGATTCAATGAATCAATATGAAAAAAATTCTAGGTATTTGATACAATTGTTTTATTTCTATAGATAAAACAGTTTTTCTGATAAAAATAATAAATCAAAAGGCAAAAGATGTTTAAACAAATTAGGATATAGGAAGTGAAAGATTTTTAATCATTTCTAACGTATTTTTTTTAATATTTATGCTCATGTCTGATGATAAGCGAATGTTATTAAGAGATTTAGAAAATTTATTACTTGCTCTATCAATAAATACTGATGAAATATATCAGAAAATTGCATCTATTCTTCAAAAATATCAACTAATAAATAATCTTCATAGGTAATCAGTACGTGATTTTGATGATGTTCACAATAAATTATTAGACTTATTGGTATTGAATACTGAGAACAACGGTTCTTTAATTGATTACAACACATTGTTAAAAACTTGAATCATTACTATTCGATTTACGGAAAACAATTGAAGATCTCGTAATAACTAATTAATATATGAAGCAAAATTCAAAAAAATTATCGTATGGAATTTCAACATCACTAAAAACTACATTATTAACACATTTTCGATTGAAATGAATATGAATCGATCCATTAGATGAGGAATTACTTATGGCATTATTTGATCATAATTATGATGTTGCACGTATTTTAGAAGATAAATGTATTGAGGAATTATGTTATTTTTTTTTCTATAAAAAAATCTGTTATCTTCATGATTAAATATAATCAGATAGGATTTTTATATTTCTTGATTTGATTGTTCATTCTTACGAAAGATTAAAAATTTAAAAATAGTTTCCTTTTGTTTCATTCACATTGGTGTTTCTACAATAATTCTTCGAGAAAATCTATTTTTACGTAATTCTAACAAAATGATTTACCTTCTATATCGATTACTTCAATTTGTTAAAGTTTTATTTCATATAAATGACAATATGTCTTGCATTTATTAAAAAACGAACTGAGATTTTTGTTATTGATGTGTTAAGATTTGATTCTTTTTTAAAAAGCTCAAATAATATTTCATAAAAATGTGGATCGAGTTGATAGTTGAGAGCATATGCATGATTAACTGAAAAGAATTAACTATTCTGAATTCAAACATTGTATCATTGCAATTGATTTCTCATCGTTGACTTTTATTTTATTTTTTTCTATATACAAATAAAAAACTTTTTATCACATTGGATCAGGACTAGCAGCACTGTCACTAATTGTAATAACATTTGCTGTTGATGTATATTGATCAATAAATGATTTGATATGCGAACTGACTTTTTGACCTAATAATTCATTCTAAAAAGGAAACAAAAATAAAGATAATAACTGTTAGAACTTAATATGTGAGTGATTTGAAATTAAAGGAGACATCTTCATCACCTTCCATTTGACTTTAATTTTTTTGCAAGGATTGTTTTTTCGAAATAAGTTCTTTTAGTAAAGACATGTGTAAAAAAATGTTGACTATTTCAACTAATTAATCTATTTTTTAGTGATTTTATTGAACATCTCATTCGATTATAAAAGCATTTGTTCGTTTGTATATTCGTACATCATCACATCATTAATTAAAAGTAAATCAATTTTATTGAAAAATTCAAGCATATGCAGAAAAGTTTCGAAGTCAGATGTTTGAATTAAAATGTCTGAAGTGAAAGTTGATAGAAATTTTTAGTGTATCTAGAGTAACTTAACACACATGTGAAATATAGAAATTAGTTCTACAACAAATTCATTATCACGAGATAGAAATATATATATCTATTAACTTACGTTAAGTGTCCAAGCAATATCAATATCTCCATTTGATTCAATTGATACACGCAATTGTTGATTATCAATATGTAGAAGATTATCAGAGATAAGTATAATACGATGTTTTGATTCATTATCACTATTATTTAATTCTCGTTCAAGTAATTGAATTAATGAGACTAGTTGAATAGGACGAATATTAGTTGTTGATGAAAAATGTGAATGAAATTGAACTGTATGATGAACAAGACCTAATTCATTCATAGCTGTTGATGGTCGAACAAGACGAAGACGCTTTCATAAAAAAAAAAAGAAAAGAACAAAGAATTTCATTTCACAAAAAAAAAATAATCTTATATGACTTACACCATCTTTAATAATTAATGTACCACGCATTTGTTTTGTTCGTTTTTCAAATCTACTAACATCAGCAGTTTCTTCTGAAGATATATCATTGAAAAATAATATTAAATAAAATTAATTTGAAATTACCTTTTAATTGTTGCACAAGTCCTGGTTCAATATCAACTGGTACACCATGTGGTGTTTGTATGATTATTGTTTCACCATTAGCTGGTTTAAAACAAGGAATTTCTATACAAATGTTCATGTTTTTAATATTGAAGAAAAGAAAAACAAAATAATTTCTATATTATATTTACTTAATTCATCTTGAACTCGACCACGAAGAAAATCCATTACTAAATCTTCACCATGAACTAAAACAACATTACTCGGTTGACATTGACGAATTAATTGTGTTATGCCTTTAGCATCGGCATGAGCTGAAAATGACATATAATGAACTTGCATTTTCGCTTCAATTTCTTTTCCATCAAATACAAAACGTCGTTGACCAAGTAATAATTTTGAGCCTACAGTATTAGCGACACAATAACCAGGTATAATAATCTATACATAAATATAATATTATAAAGATAAATGAAAATTGAAAAAACAAAAAAGACAAACCATATTCTTTTCATCTGGTGCCCATTTTTTAAATAAATGAAGTGAATAACCAGCATGAAGCATTCCAGGTGAAGCAAACACAATCATTGCACCTGGTTGTTCCACATAAGATCGATCCCATGGCTGGAAATATAACAATATTAACATTTAGTTTTCAGAGAGAAAAAAAAATCTATTTTAACATAGTAGTGAATTTTAGAAAATAAAACGAAAGCTCGTCAAAAATGTAAATTCAAGATTACAACTAAAGGCTTATATTGGAAACACTTTTAAGTATGATCAACACTTCGTAAATTAGATTGAGTACTACACGTATTTATTAGGAATTCTCATGGTCGTAGGCTTCGAAAACATATCAGTTTGCACAGTCATGATCAAAGAATAAAACTTACAATTCAACAAACCTCTTGTGTTTAATCTGATTTATTAGTGAATCATTTAGTTGACTCCGATACAGGTCTCCAATTATATTATATATTTACTCACCTATAAAAACGAAAGATTGTTAAAAATTTTTTTCATCTATCAGACTTTACAGAGCTTTCTCTGCTGATCATTTTCGCACAAAAATAAATTTCTCTTTGACATACAAATGACACGAGTGGCATCAAAATACTAAATTTAGAATTTCTTCTCTGATTAAAACTGAATAACCTCATAAAGTCTATTTTTTTTTGGTTTCGAACAGTTTTAGTCACATCATCACAAATATGTTAATAACGTACTTTAATATGTTTGAAATCAAAAATATTCTTTTGATGAAATGTTGATTGAATTTTTTCATTGGTCCATGAAACAAATAATGAATAATAAGTATTAACTTTTTCTGAAAGTCCCGATGCAAAATAAATAGGTACATTTAAATTCATTCGTTCTAAATATGTTTCTAATAGAATACATAATTCTTGAGCACGACCTACAGCAAATACAGGTACAAGAACTTTGCCACCATGCCGAACACAATCAACAACTTTAGCCATAAAATCACGTTCACGTGCACGTCTTGAATCACGTACAGTTGAACCATATGTGGATTCTGTTATTAATACATCTGGTCGACATCGATCAATATGTGCAGAACCAAGATGACGATCAGCTGTTGTATTAAAATCACCGGTATAAACAAGAGTTTGTTGACCAACACGAATATGAAACATAGCTGCACCCAACACATGTCCAGCATAATAAGCTTTTATTTCAAAATCTGTATCTACCTATGAAGAAAATAAAAAATCAAATATTTACTTCATAATTAAAATCAATAAAAATTTTACCTTAACAGTTTGTCCTAAACTAACAGGAATTACTTTTTTCATACAATTTTTTATATCTTCTGTTGTATATGGTCCTTGTTGTGTTGTTTTATCTGTTGTTACTTTTCGAAAATCTTCCTGTGTTTATTAAAATAGAATAAAATATTATTTGAAACAAAATTAAATTTATTTATTTATTTATATACAAGAAGTAGAGGACAAATTGCTTTCGTTGGATAAGTCATGTATAATGGACCATTATAACCAACAACTTCAGTCATATAAGGTAATGCTCCACAATGATCCAAATGAAAATGACTAAATAGAAAATGGTTAGAGCAAAAAAAAGCAAGAAGAGAGACAATACTTTAATACCTTATGATAACACAATGAATATATGGTGTTAATGGACCATCTTTACATATGACAGAAAAATCTGGAAATCGACGCTAGAAAAATAAAGTATAGAAAATAAATAAATAAATAAATAACTCACATCATCATGAAAACCCATATGAAGACCACAATCAAGCATGATATTTTTACCACCCATTGTGATAAGTATACAACTACGACCAACATCTTGACCAGCTCCTAATGGTAAAATACGTATCTCAGACATCTGAAATGATCAAAATACTTCATGTCATGTTATTTTTTATTAGATCATTTAGCACATTATCATGAGAAACATAATCTTTAAAATCATCTATCTATTGCCATCCAATAGTTCAGATATATACACATATATGAAGTTCTTTCATTGATATGAGAGAAATGATGTATTTGATATAACTTTTTTTTTCATATATCAATATCATACTTCAAGTATAACTTCAATCAACTTCTCTGTTCCGTAAATTCTAAAAATGATTACCATGTAATATAAATATAAAATCTATAATATCCTATGGAAAGGGCCATGAAAAAAAGGCTAGAATCTATTTATTTAAGGGATTTCAAAAGAAAAAAGAAGAAACGAAATTGAATAGAGTTCGTATGTGGGATTCTACATATTCCAAAGGTTTCGAAGTTTGACCAATGTAGGACGTTCATCGATAGCTTCAACACCCTAGGAGATAAAAAAACAAAACAATTTGTCTATGATTAATCTTATATATTCAAATATACATACGCGAGGATAATATTCATTTCCTGTAATACGTCGATCTCTTAAATACATGTAATAATCTCGATCATCTTTCAACATATTTTTTGGTCCATGTCTCTGGTTAGATAAAACAAAAAAATACATATATTTACTAATCCAAGAATAAATAATAATATCAAATTTACTTTTCCATTAAGAAAATACCAATTGCATACGTAAAGAGTAGGCGCTGCAACAAGAAGAAGTGGAGCTGCAGTAACAACAAGTGATGGAAGAATTTCAAACCAAACCATGTCTATCTAAAAAAAAAATGTCTGAAGTCATTGAATCATAATATAACAAGAAATATCAATGAATAAAAATAAAAAAGTTTGCTTATAATACTATTTTTTTTTTATAAATAATCCTATATGAAAACATACAGATAGTGAAAAAAAAATGTGTTTATACACGACAAGATTTTCGTAAAATGCCTTACTTAAGTTGAATGAACACATATTAAAACGGATAAACAATCAAAAGTAGATATATATATATTTACTAATCTATCGTTAATGTTATCAAGTTTTAATAAAAATCATTACGTCGATAGAATATGTAAATAAATTCACCAATAAAAACAATGTTCTTCATCGAATATTAATAACTTTTATAATATCAAGACATTGAAAATAAACGAACCATATATAATAGTCGACAGAAGATATTTTTTTTCAGTTATCTATAGAATAAGATAATCCAATATAATACTATATATGTATATCTGACATAAGATGAATGAGTTAAAACTGGAAGAATGGAAGTATAAGACAAAAAAAAAAGGAAGAGAAACAACTAGATTAGAAAAGTCTTTGTCGTTTATCAGTGTTTGTTGAACTATTATTAGGTGATGGTAGAGTTCGTTTAAAAGATGATGATGGTGAAGAAAATAATTGTTTTATAACACCACTAGCTTTTCGTGGTGTTATTGGTGGTTGATGTTCTTCAGATATTGAAATAGATGTTTGTTGTTTAGGAGAATCAACAAATAAACGACGTCGACCCTCTTAAAATAAATAGTGTTTAGTTTGTTTATATTCATTTTTTTTTAAAAATCAATGATTTTAATCAAACATACTTTCATAAGATTGTGATGATGTAAAAGCTTTTGATAATATTGGTTGAGATGCTGATCGTATTTCATCGAGTTTAGGTGAATATTTTTGTGCTTCTCGTACAAAACGTCTTAAAACATAATTACAACGAGATACACGATTGACTACTTGAGAAAGATGAAGAGTAACTGGTTTACTCGGTTGATTTTCGAGAACGGGAACATTATACACTAAAAAAAAAAAGTAAATCAATAATAAATATTCTTGATTAATTATTTCGAAACAAAAAATCCAAATTATTTTGTTATATTACGATTTATTTCGATACAAGTAAATTGAAATTGAGATTTCTTTTATATATTTGTTAGTTATGATTTTAGATGTGTTAGGTAATGATATTATTAAAATTCACGAGAAAAACTTCACTGATAAAATTCTTACTAGAAGTCGATGAGCGAAGACGTAAAGAAAGTCGTTGAATTTCACGTGCCATTATATCTGATGGCAACATATCATTTCCATCATCATCTTCTTTTATTGGAGTTTCTTCTACAAATTCATTGTCTTGTATTGTTACTTGTGATGATGAAATCGTACTAGAAGTATCGAAATCAAACGAAAGTTTTTTAATTGGAATTATTTTCACTGGTGTATTTTCCACATTCGCTAATGATACGCTGAAAAATATATATTGAGATATGATTCGAAAATTCTATTGAAAAATATTTTACTTTGTTACTGGTAATGGTTTAAAACTCAATGTACGATTTAAAGTTGCAGCAGTCGATGTTTTAACATTGATCATTTTACGATTTTTTGTTAATTCTTGTTGTAGTGAAGAAACATTTCGTTGAGAATAAGATCGTCGAGATTTAGATGATGAAGATGATGTTTGATCCGAAACTAAATCGAATTTGAATCGATCAGCCATCTTTGTCTTAAAATTCATCAAATTGAATATATCTATTTACAGGTGTTTTTCACGTCAAAAGAAACAATTGCACTGAGTAACAATAACGGAAATCTATTCCAGTCTATTTATTCGATACAATTGGTAGCAAATCAAATTAAAATTATACTAGATGTCGCTCCTGAACAAGTCAAGAGGAATATTCTAAAGTCTATGATTATGTATGCATATGCATGGAGGATCCAATCAATGTCGAACTGGTAATTCATTGATGCACTTAAGATGGTGCTGATTTTCAAATGCTGCTATTAACTACAATTGAAATATATCATTGATATAGATTATTTCTAATATTAAATTTTTCTCATCAACTAAAATTAAGGAGTTGGTTTTGGTGACATCTTGTATTTACATTATTCTCAAATAAAATCTGATATACTCGTGTTGAAATGTCGCTGTAGTGTAAGGCTATCATTTACCTAAAACTCATTCTTTTTGTAAAAATAAAATGTGTAGATGATTATACCATTCGATTTACAATCTATCTATCACAATTTCTTTTTCTTTCTTTTCCGTCACATACAGACGCACTCTAAGTAAGTGCATTTTGTGTTGATTTGTATATCTTACTACAATTTATGCCACCAGAATACGTATGAAGGCTAAAAAATCGATAATCTCTGCACTTTACCATCGATTGTTTATCGAACGAACAGAAAACTCCCCACTAAAACCAATGTTCATTGACTTCGAAAACAGTCTGATTTTGCTACATTATTCAAAAACATCTATGAGAAAATCATTGTGTTTCGCAATACATATCTGAAAATCAATGAAACTTGGACTTGATATTCCAAATTGGAATGCCTTCAAATGTGTGCAGTGAATGCTGGTCATTTTCAGTCGACAAGCACAAGAAAACGGTCGAGAGTTAGAAGAGAAATTTGAGTATAGATTAACCTGAAACATTACGTCTAAGCTTCGTCGACTTGCAATTTTTTTTCTACGGTAATCGTCTGTATACATTCACTTGTGTATATTTTAACATATTTGCCTTTACAATTAACTCAAATAATATATGCACTTTTTATATTTAGCGTACATAAATAACATTTTTTCTTCGATTATTTTTGCATGCTGATAACGAAACTATCTACTAAATTTCGTTCAGCTATGAGAAATGCGACTAGCAAACGTGTCGCTACAAACATTACTTAAATATACTGCTAGATTTGACTGTAATCCAATTTGAAGATGAAAGATGTACACTCATTAGTTTATTTTAGACTTAATTCTAAATCATAGTTATAGTTTCAGTGTTCTTGCTTTCGTTTGTATGATATTAAGAAGTCGAACAATCTTGCAGCATTTTACGATTACTATTCATATGTAGTAGTAAAAGAAATAACATATTTTCATTTGTGAAACACGATATGTAAACTATGAGACTTCAAGAGACATCGGAAAAGATAAATTAATGAAAAGAATGTGATGAAACTTCCATACTGTCTATTGGACTATTGTGTAAGAACGTTTTCTTTTTGTTGCCAATATCAACATAGTATACTATCAAAAACGAAATGGACGAACAACGAACAGTTCGATTCGTTAGAGATAAAGATGACGAAATTCAAAAGTAATTCAAAATACTAAAGAAAATTTAACACACCTATATCACTGTTGACATATATACATGTTGTAGGATGGAGTTTATCACTGCCATACTCTCTCTTCTTTACAAAGGCCTTTCTTCTAGAACGTAAAACAAAATGGAATTATCGCAGATTTCACATGAAGAACAGTTGAACGATGCCATTAATGAGGCGATTTATGCATACATACATGTGAATATTGACAATGGATTTCATTTAAAAAGCTCATGGCGAAATATGATTTTAGCTTTGCTTGTCCTTGATGTTGTGCTCATGTGCCCAGCACTTTGGTTATTTTACAAGGCAGTAATAACAAAAAAATATATGAACTCAATAGAATGTTATATCGAACAATACACGATACTAATAACAGTACTGAAATGCTGAAAAACTGATAGCTAATAAAAACGAAACTACCTGTGTGAAAAAACTGAAGTGCTATGAGAAAGTAATAGTTTTGACATATGATATGCTCGTAAGGCTGTATGAATTAGATATCATTTTTATGTTACTATTATAGTAAATAGAAGTAAAGCATACTAGAAATGAATGATCACATTGATGAATTACATGATCAAGATTAGGGTTTACAACGAGCATACCGAAATTGATCTGGTGAATATTACGTAACATCGACGATATTTATCATGCTCTATTAAGATAATTAATTAATTATGTTTTGATAGTGTTGATTGATCGTCGAAACGTAGAGTCTCTTATCGATAGAGAAATAAAACAAGAAATAGAGAATAGATAGCTAATATTTTAATAGTTGAACCGAGAATAGAATTCAATTAAAATCAATCAGCCATATTTATCTAAAGAACATGTCTTACGTGATCGACTGGAAAGTTGTTCTTAATATCAAATGAAACATTATTTGCAGTAACTGAAAAGCACAGGCAAAATTCTTTAGTATACTTCATTGGCCTATTGGTTTACAAATTAAATGAAAGTCACGACTGAATGTTTTGAATCTGTAAAAGAATGAATAAGTGCTATGAAATACGGTTCACTCATTCCAAAAATTATGTTTTAGTTTAGTAAAATTCGGTTTAAAAGTTGTAAAAAATAGCGTTACATCTTAATCAGTGAGTTGCTTTCGTAAACCAGCAGGAAGAGCCCCTTTTAAGCTTGGCCGAATCATTAGATAATCAACTAACCATGCTGGACCTCTTGAAAGTGGAAACATGATGCAACTCGATTGCCATCCAGGTCGATAACGGATTCGTGGAGCTGTATTCATGACAGCGTGTTTAAGTGCTTGTACTACTTTGGCTGGATTTTCGGCATTTTTCATAAATACATCATTCAGAATTCCTTGAATTTGTTTATCAAGAAATTCTTCGCCCCATCGATCTTTAACATCATCTACTAATCCATTCCATAAAGTGCGTAATGATTTATCATGTCCTTCAACAATACCAGTACGCATAAAACCTGGTTCAATAATACTAACACGTAAACCCCATACGGCCATTTCACGACGAAGACAATCAGAAAAAGACTCCAGAGCATATTTCGACGCCGCATACGCTGACATGCCTGGCTTAGTTAGATAACCAGCAACGGAGCAAATGTTAACAACACGTGAATCTCGTTTAGCTATAAGTAATGGTAAAAATTTTTTAGTCATTGTAACATGTCCAAAGAAATTCACATCCATAACTTTACGCATAAGCTCTGTTGATATCCAATCAATATGTCCTGCTGTACCAATGCCAGCATTATTAACAAGTGCATGAAGTACTTTTGTCTTATTGCTTATCATTTCATAAGCAGCATCAATATCTTCTTGACAGATAATATCTAATTTAAAGACAGTTGCTCGTGAAGATAGAATATTTGCTAATGAATCTTTATTATTTGCATCATAAACACCAGCTAATACATTAAAACCTTGTTTGTCTAATTCAATTGCTAATCCATTGCCAAAGCCAGTATCACAACCACTAATTAATACATACTTACCACGCGGGTTTATATCGGGTGTTGGATATAAATATTGATACAATCGATAAAATACGTAAGCAAGTATTATTAAGCCAAAAAACATATACATGTCTTTTATTATATATGAAGATAATAAATAAGTGACAAGACAAAGTCCGTTGTTCTCTAAAAGAATGGTGTAAACCTACAAGTTATTATAACAAAGAAGTCGAGAACAGCACACTGGCTTTTTTTATATGGGTTTCTTTTATTCGTATTTTTCTTTTGCGTTCTGATGCTTCATATTTATTTAGCGATAACTATTTGATATGGTAGAATCTAGACAAATCTCATGTCGTTCTTTTTTTTTATACTATAGTGCTGCTATAGCTCTTAAACGACATATAGTGGCGTTATCTAGCTCAATAATGACACTAGTCCTTGTAATAGATTCAAGCGGTCTGTGCGTTGCAATAACTCTAAAAAGTATCCTTATAGCCGTAGTATTTTTATTCTCAAAGAAAAAAAAAATGTTTTTTACATTGTGACTTATTGTGGTCAAACAATGAACAAATGTGATTGTTCATAGTTTTCACTGTTCCTGGAATAGGAGTATTAATGTATCGATTTTCTCACATAGTAAATCAACAACGTCGTATTCAGGAAATAAAACGTCAATCTGTTCGTACTTTCCTTGCTCCTAATAACAACTCTCATAATATTGCGACGAAAGATCTTCCAAGACAATTAAAAAAGATTGTATTTCGCTTCCATCATGTATTAATTTTAATGGCGATGATGTTGATTCTATCAGTGAAAATGAATGTGAAGATAAAACATGTTCACTTTACAATGGTGCCATTATTACCGTTACTGATACTGTCCATCGTATTAGTGATATTCACTTGGATATAAAGTTAGACAAACAAAAGGTTAACAATTACTACCAAAGCCATATTTGTCGTCATTCACATGAAAAGCTATGAATAAATCATTTCACCATGTTTCGTTAAGGTCCACTACTTTGCTTTGGAGTGATTGCTATAATTTATGTAATACATGTGATACAAGTTTCAAAACATGTGTCAATTCGAATTGCATACCATCCTTTTAACAACGCCGAACTACAGAAATAATCAAGATTGTGCGATTTGTTATTCGATCTCAAATACTATTGATTATGAACAGTAATGCTGCATTTATAAATAAACCACATCTATTTCCACCAAATGATATTTATTTCTGTGAGCAATAATCAGCATATGTCTAGCATGAATAGTAATAAAACTCTCATCCGCTCATCAAACCAGTCTATTTAGCCATGCTTCACGCCGATTACAGAACTTCCACCTCTTATAACAGAGCTTCAATCAAATATTATTATTCGTGCACTCTGGAACTCCAAAAAAGCTCGAAGTAAATGTTTTCTTAGAGCAAACTGTAAAGGCTCTATCTTTCTTAATTCACCGTGGAACCTTAATCTTCATTCAAGAACCAGAGTATGACGTTTAACTTGCATCGCAATTTTTTGTTTCGAATTTGGCCGCCAAAGCTTTATTATTTTTTATATGACTAATTTCATTGAATACTCTGCCTGTACATTCTGGTGTAGTAGAGGTAAGTCGTCTTTTTGTACAAACAACAAAGCTTTTCATACATTTTTTTCCACAAAAACGTCTCTTAGCATTCCAATGGTAAAGATTTATCCAATATAAATAAAAGTTTATTCTTCAAAACAAGTTCTTCGGGAAACTTTATCGGCTAATGCTTATCACAGCCAGCGAAACAGAAATTTAATGTTTTACTTTCAGTTGATTACTAAAAATAAATTTAAATTTTACTACAACAGATATGTGATTTATTTTTAGATTTACTTTTTCAACAAAAACGAATTCTTCAGTAGGTTTTTTTTATCGAACTCTATCTATCTATCATTTTTCCATCTTTTAAACCTAGCTATTTAATATGATCTAGGGATTTGAAATAAAAAAAAGCAGTAAAGTTCTTTATCCATATACAAACAATGATTTTACACCTTGTACACATGATAGCTATTTCAAAGTAGCTCGTGAAGCTGTACGAAAAGTACATGGTGATGAAGAAGTGGCCGTGGACGAAATAAAAAAATCTATTTTCTTTAATTCAAACATTTAATTATTCTATGCAGATCATTTATGATTTTATGGGTGTGGATGCAATTTTTTACTTCTGTCACATCCACAGTCACACATCATAATGAACTGGACCTCAGAACTTTAGAAATAAATTGACGTTCTTTTTTGAACCACAGTTAAAGGTCATCAGAACGAAATTCTGGAACTAATACGAGATTGGAACCAAATGCCGTGGTTTCAAGACGTGACAGGTATCAAAAACTTGTGGTCTCAATGATTTCTACAATTAACATATGTCACTATAAGTGAAAGGAGATTCAGTGGATAATTTTTCTGTAGATTATAAACATTACCATTTGAGACAATCTTTCAGGAAAATGAAAGTACGTCGTGATAGTTTCAAATTCTATTTAAATCTAAGTTGATTTGAGAGTACTTGATAGAAGTCATTCTGACTGTCTTACATGTGTAAATAAAGCTTTTTTGTCGAAAAAGTCTGTTCACTTGTTTTCGATTACGATGTAATTATACTTTCTAATTATTTGTTATATGTAACAGTAGAAGCTCACAAAAAAGATTCACAATAACAGATGGCATTTTTCTCATCAATCTTTTGCTATACTTTTTGATTTATAATGATTTTTTTCGTATAGATTGAAATGATAAAATAGAATCTTATACATAACATAACGGCTGTTTGTCAAACACAGATTTAAAACTTATTTAATGCCAATGTCGTTGCAACCAAATGAAATAATTGACCGAGCACTTGGCATGGCATTTGGTACTGCTGTTGGAGATGCCATGGGAATTCCATTCGAAAATCTCACTCCAGAACAAATCGCCAAAATTCAGATGTCATTAAACGAAAAAGATTCATTGTTTATCAATGCTGCTGGTCGCAATCCATACATTCCTAAAGAATGGCCAGCAGGTCGATGGGGAGATGCAACACAGCTCTCTCTTGCCATTATGCATGCAATTGCGAAACATCTTTGCGATGGTGCTGAAAAGACGCCATTGATCACAAGTATTGTTGATGAACATGTACGAGAATGGCAGCATTGCACAGATGGTTGGGGCACTGGAACCAAAAGTGCGATAGAAAGAATTGCTCAAGGATCCTATTCATATTGTAACAGTGGTGGCCTATCGACTGGAAACGGTGTTATCATGAAGTTGACACCACTCGCCTTCTTTTTCCATGTTTGTGACCTCAATATTGATGATGAATTAGTCGAAATAGTCTGTCGAATGACACACGTTAGTCCAGTTACAATTGTTACTGCACTCATCTACGTGCATCTATGTATATTCATCTTCGAAAATGATTTGCCATCATCTAGCGTAGAAAGAAAGGCCTTTCTACAATATGTCAATCAACTTTCCGTTAAATATGAATGCAAATATAATCTTGTAACCCATCAAGATTTGTTGAGTATTCGAATACATCGATACCTGGAAAAAATTGACGAGATTAACAATGAGCTCTTGTTAGATGTGAGTCATGGTGGAACATTCTTCTGTGTGGATACATTATCGATGGTTGTTGGTCTTGTCGTGTCAAAACGAGTAACATTTGAAACATTGAACAAAGCAGTACAGATGGGTGGTGATACGAATATTATTGCGGCAATGATTGGTGCACTTTTAGGTGCTACACAGGGTCACCAGGCCATCGATAAACGTCGTACTGAAATTGTTTTTCGATCTGACTATGTTCAGCAGATTGGCGAGGAGTTTGGACAGGCTCTAGTGCATTATCTTAATCTTCTTCCAGCTTGCTCGCAGACTATGTAATCAAAACTTGTCAAAAAATAAAATATTGAACTAGAAAAGGCACAACGATATCTCGATTTTTCGACTACTGCTACTAGTATACGGTGTGGGTGTGGATGAAGAGACATGCCACATTCATACCCAAATTCAGCGTAGTTAGATTTATTAAAACCAATAAATAAAAAAGAAGATCAATGATGATGATCATGACCATTTGTAAGAGAAGAAAGTTATTCGTTGACAGAATTTGTAATAAAAATAATATATTGATCGACTTCGTCATCCATTGTCATATAATTAGTGCTTGATCGGTTCGTGCGTGTGCTAATTTCCATGGAACATCTTTGAATAGAATAGACAAAAAAAATAGCAGATTTAACAAAAAACATTCTTTTATGGATTGTTTAATGCAATTTACTTTGACTATTATTAACGATTATTTTAAGTGTTCATTATAGAAATAAATGTCTAGATCAATCTCAATTATCTATTTATGAATATTTATTAATATTTATTTGAAATTCTTGAAATACATATTTATCTATCTCAACTATTCTTATTCATAATTTATTCAATATATATTTATAAATTTGATAGTGATCAACTTATTGAACAGATTATCTTGAAAAAGTATCAATTAGAATATTCATTTCAATAAGAACACCTACTTTAATCCGATACAAATAAAGTCTTACCAATAGCTTGAAGTGTTGTTCATATAGTCTTATGCTTTGTATCTTCATGACAAATATTACCTGTTGAAAATGCTAAACGATCACGGAATTAATTAACTAATGGTTTGCCATGGATTTGCCACGAAAAGATAAATTTAATGTATATGGTAAACAATATCGTTCATTTTCATTTCGAATAATTAAATATTCATTATTTTTATTAAATTAATTACTTTAACCTTCATAAAGTCTATCATGTGTTCGTTTTATTTATTCAATTCTTTTATTTGATAAATATTTATTTGATATTAATTGACAAACTCTTTCTAAACCAATAATGGCTAAAACATTTACTGTACGTGGTTGAAAACTTTGTTCATGTTGTGCATCATAAAGGATTGATGTGAATTGAATTCCTTGAGAGATATAAAGAGCACCAATACCTTTTGAGCCATGAAATTTATGTGAACATATGGTTAATAAATCCAGACCAAGGCGTGATACATTTATCGAAAAGTTTTCCCATTGATTGTAATGCATCACTATGAATTATAATATCAAATGCACTAGATTTACGACCTAGATTAACTATTTCTCCAATTGGTTGAATTGAACCTTTGCAAGATCTTATTTTAAAAAATATTTTAAAATAGAAAGAAGCTCATATGTTGAGAGTTGTCAACATTAGATTTAATAATTTCCTGTAAGGCTAAATTATTTGATTTTGCTCCACCACTTATAAATATAATTTCATTTGAATGCGAGGCATTAATAGAAGTCCTGACTTATTTTCTTGCTTCATCAATTAGAAATCGAGCCTCAACTCCAAATAAACGAGAGAAACTTGGATTATCCAATGAATGTAGAGATTTTAAATGATTAATTATTGATTCGATAACACATGTATCTTCACAAGTTGTTGCATTATTATCTAAATAAATAATATTTAATATGTCGAAATATTTCTCATGTAAACCGTTATTCAAGAAGAATCAACTCATATGCTTTCTATTGTATTGAATGATTGTCTTTGTAATTGTGATGGTAATAGTTATTATAGTGATGCCTTTGTGTCTTGTTTCCTGCTCCTTTTTCACAACGACAATGATATGACACAAATACAATGAATCTGATTAAAATAAACTCGCTCCTTATTTTTCTTGAAATTTTCTAAACATGCCGTTCGTTGTGATTATTTATTAAAATAAAAATAAATTGGAGTATGGGCTTTAGTTGAGATGAAATAAACTCGCATTCACACTCTCATATAGCCAGGAAAAAGTAATGAGCAAAGCACATTTTTTTCGATTGAAGATAACCAAAACTAGCTACTGCTATTCTCGATAATTTTTTTTGCCACATAGTTATGTGCTGATTAAAACAAGAGAAATATTTTCCTTCTGTGTGTTCAGAAAAAAAAGACATTTGAGTATAATGCTTCGAATTTTAGAAAAAGTTACATGCATACGAAGAACTGATTGGTTTTTTTAGGGATGGATGTGGGTGTGAGTGGATCTGGGTCCATGCCTTGGTTTTCTTTTAACACACACCCACATCCTTGTTTCACATGAATTGACTAGAGAGAAGAAAATCTGAAGCATTAGAGAAAAAGGCTATTAGCAAAATCCCTTGGAAATAAAATGTGAAACACAATAGAGTCACTGTAATCGAAGATGAAGATTCTCTCGATTATAATCACAATTTGTGACACGTCAATGGAATAACGTATTGAAATATCTGTCGCGTTCGGTGCTAGAGATAAAAATAAACACATGAGAATTGCGAAAAAAAATGTTCGTCGCCCATAATAGAATACGTCATTATGAAATACTTCCCCGTTCTTCCTACTTAAAAAAAACAAGAAACGATGTTATAATAAAATCTTATTAAATCAAAGCAAAATTGAGAGACGTTTCATTCTCTATAGCCATTTATGAATAATAAAAACGAAAATTCTTCTCTTTTTATTTGTTTCTAGTTATTATAGTACTTTTACATATGTATCGCTATTGTTGGTCACACTTCTTCTATTCACTCCTTTTTACCAAAGATTGGTCCCGCGGTAATCATAGGCGTAATTCTTCAAATAGTAAACTACATTATATATGCATATGTACTCTATTATACTGTATTGTATTTGATCAAATGCGAATCTAGTTTTCTAAAAAAAAAACTGTTACGGTTAGAATGACTTGCGTCAACAATACAGGTATTAGAGACAGGGATCTCCCAAATCAAGCTCGAAACTTTTATTTTTTCTGTTACATTATATCATTCGACCTATTCAAGAGTTCTCATCACTCAATAGTTCGTTCGATTAGTATTCCATCTGTTTATTCAAGTAGAACCTGATTACTGCAAAATAATTGTCTAGGATATCATCGATGAAGATATGTAGTTCATTTGCTCCCGTTATGTAACAAGAAAAATCTGTAAAATAAATTCTTAAGATTTTCAGTTAGTATCAGTTTTCTTCATGATTAATAGAACAAAACAAGCTTTAGCTTATATTGTGTGCTTTTTGGTGTTCTTTATGAAAATATTTATCACAAAATATGTCATCTATAAGTTCCAAAACACTGAATGCTCAGTCGTGCAAATCGAGACAAAAATTGATACGCGCTGAATATCTCAAGAAATTATTTTCATTGCACATAAAATTCGAGCTTTTTCGAAATGTTTATCTTGAGGGCAGGATCTCGTATTTCAGCGAAGGATGTGGAAAAACGGAAATACGAGATCAGATTTTAAACTATACACAGAATCTACTTATAGTTAGACTAATAACAAATAATACGAGTTCATTGATCGTTCTTTTTAAATTTATTTCATAAAACTTCTGAATATTTCCTACTGATCTTCAGTCAATTTTCAGTACTAAGGACAACTAAAAGTTCAAAAATCTCTCCGCCTCCTAAGGTAAAATGCTGGTGACCCAATCCTGAAAAACTGCATCGACTTCTTTGATGTAAACCTTCCAAATGAATTGGAATTTCTAGATTTTGAAAATATCTACTAGTAGACAGTTTTCTGTAATGAGTCTAAAAATTGACTCACATATGGTTGATCTAAGAGACCTAAATCACTGTATGTAGGCAGCTACTTCTGAATTACAATTCAAAAGATTGTCGAATTTCTTCTATTAGACAATAAATAATCAAATACAGCCCAAAGTTATTTGAACATCTACCTTATGATCAGTAGATTGTAGAGCATTTATTCTGATTTTATATCCTATGCGTGTGACAAGTTTTCAAACAATAGAACAAACATTCAATGGCACTTATATATGTGATGGTCGTACCTTAGAAAAGTCGTAATTTGCTTACTGACCTTCTATTGTGGTGCTAACAAAATCCTGTGATTCAGTAGTGGTTTATTTATTGAATCTTCTAATGAGAACTGCATATTATGAAATATGTGTAGCAGGTAAAGCATTGAGTTGGTGCACGTCGGTTTTAAAGCTTTTATTCTTTTCACGTTATTTACTTCACAGCATGTGTGCATCCCATTGTCTCATTCTTCAACTTGCGGCACTTTTTCTTTCAAAAAAACTATAAGGACACATGGTAAGAAAAGAAATTGGGAGAGAAATCAAAGTCAGCGTGTACGTGCATTATAATAATCGACAACGACGTTTATTTCTTTTTACCTTCAATCATCAAAAAATTAATTGTCAGTGTGGTCTGATAAGGAATCAATGTGTGGAGATCAAACATAATAGTTTTAATAGTTAATACGCGCGCTTTGAAATTTTATCATTTCGAAATGTTTGCATTTAAAATAGCTATTCTAGAAACGTATTTCATTCATTTAACATCGTTTTGATATAAAAACTTATTTGTATTGTCAGATACATTTTCAAAACATAATTTTTTTTTCTTGTAATGATAATACATATGACGCATGCCATAGAAAACGGTACATGTTAATTTGTTCTGTGTTTCGTACATTTAAGTACTATGTTAACCTGCTACATACATCGATTTCATCGTTCAATGCTTTCGAGCACACCATACTTTCTCTCGATGAACATTGACATACACTGTTGAGTTCGATCTAAACTTAGAATTCAATGAGTTCATACTTTTCTGTGCTCATTCTATGCTGACTCTGATAGATTAATAAGAAACTAATCGAATAAGCTTTTTATTTTATGAATGCCTTATAATGATAATTATGGATTAAAGTTTACAATCATCGATATTTGTCTTGATTAAAACATATGTTTTTTTCTCTTAAAGTTGATTCAATTGGTGAGGATTTGTGGAGCTAATGCTTTAGCCCAAGTTTGCATGAGATCTGGAATCCAATGTACCTTGTTCAAATTATCATCCTGAAATGGTGCTTTGATACGCGGCATCAAATATCGAATAATTGCGTGAATCCATCGAATTGGAGCCATACCCAATTGACCTATTTCATGACTAGCTATATTTGAGTAGCATGACACGGCAATGTTGTTGACAATTAATGTGCCTACGAAGTGCAGTCACAAGGTTAGATATTTGAATTTTATATTAATTCACCTGTTGTCGTCAGTGGTGAGTAATAACCAAGTTTTGCTTCAATTGTAATGCTAGAGATTTTCGATGGTCTAAGGTATCCAGTTGCCGTTGATTTCACGAATATGTAATCTGCATTTGTCAATTTTTGAGCTTGTACATAGATCCTCATGCCATTGCTTGCCAAAACTGGTACAAAATGTCCAGGTGTCATATAGATTAATTCATGATCTTCAGTTTCGACAACGTAGAACACAGCTGTAAATAAACATCATACTTCATTTCATCTAAGCGAGTAACTTTTCATGTTATCGATGCAAAGGATTAATTTAATCAATCCGTTATTTTTAAGTACTGTATAATTATATGGATTTTCTCAGGAAGTAAAAGAAACGCATTTTTTCACATTTTAAATCCGAAAGGATTAATGTTAATCGGACTATGGAGATCTTCAAAAAAACAATTCTGAAGCACTGGAAAGTTGAAAACATCTGTATCTGACATTTTTCAATCTTCCAAAATTACGTTTCATGAAAATTTAAAAGTTGCTAGTATTTCCGAGTGAGGGAATCTATGTTATCTGCTTCATGAAAAATCATCATCGACTACAGGACAAAGTTTGTAATGATTATTCTTCATTCCAAAAAATCATTTTCAGAACAATGACATTAACAAGTCTTTCTTTAGCACTGTGGCTAGTATCTGTTTTGCATACTTGACCAATTAGCAAGTAGATATAGCATAGATATCCGGAGAGCCCGCCTCTCACTCATTGACTCAGCCACACTCGAATCCTAATTATGCATTGATTTATATACAATGTGAGTTTAATTTGAGTACCAAGTTTTGAAAAAGATTTCCTACTACTTATTTTCTTGATACATACCATATTCATCCAAAACGCGATGCATAATGGTGATATAAAAGTATTACGTTTCCTTTTTTTAAAGGCTGCACATATATATATTGTGAAAGGCTTGAGCCAAGAATATTCGAACGAATAATTCATAATGACATCTGTTTCCACAACAAGCG